AGGTCACGTGCTCCTCCATGCCTCAAAAGTTAAACGCGTACCAATACCCTGCGGTCTCCAGACCGCAGGGAATAAGCGAAAGCTAATAGTAATCACGCCATGCGAGCTATAAATCAAATAAGTCACATTTTTAAAAAAAACTATCAGGGAACAAAAAATAGTCAATTTAAATGACTTCTACATAAAAGTAATACAAAAACTTAACCGTAAATGGTTTGTATAGAGCATGAAGAAAGGTAGCTTATACATAAAGGTATATGACGTTAACATTTTAGTATTCCAAATGGCTTGTTCCAGTTTAATAGTTATCACTCAATGAAAGAATTGGTCACTACGAAATGTTTGAATGAAATAATGAAAAATGGAATCCAGCATAATGCAAAGTTTAAATATCATAAAGCAAGATGTAATCAAGCACAATGCAAGTTCTAATGTCATGTAGCAAGATAGAATTAAGCATAATGCAAGTTCCAATGTCATCAATCAAGATGGAATCAAGCAAAATGCAAGTTCCAATGTCATCAAGCAAGATGGAATTAAGCATAATGCAAGTTCCAATGTCATCAAGCAAGATAGAATAAATGCATAAATTCTGTTCCATACATATACCATATAAGGTTCGTTCTTGATATTGTATGCTCTATTCCTAAGGTTAATCTTTAATGCCTTCAACTTGTAACAGTCCATTCAATGTTAAAAATGTTTAAAAGGATATATCAAACACAAAAATTCAGTTTCAGTGCGTGCCTCTTAAAGTGGAGGTCACCGCGGGGGTCACTATTACCCGTGCGGGATCACTATTACGTGTCCTTATACAAGTGGCAAGTTTAAACCTAAGTTCAAATCAATTTTAGTTTGATATAAACATATTTTCTTAATAAAAATCGGGAAAATCTTTTAACTTAAGCAAACTTAAATGTACGAGAAGCAGACGATAATTCTTTAATACATACCGCCGATGCCTCAACAGCAGCCGATAGATATTTGTTTCGGTCAACACAGTTCATGGTTCATCCTCGATTATCCAATGCCTTCGATATTTTACAGTTGAGTTGTTGACCTATATGTCTGATCTTGCAAACTATTGCACGTCACAGTTATCAGAGTCTGAAATGAATGAAAATAATATTTCACCTATAAAACACACGTTATTCTTTTTACTGCGTATTCTTCATTGTTGTATGCTACTTTAATCCCATGAAAAAATATATGATACTATTTATAAATAAAAATGTTATTAAATGTTATTCATCTGACTAAATATTTGGAATTGTCACGATATTTGGCAGCACTGCAAATCACGAAATGTCAATCCGTTTATTGTTCAATATATGTCCCAAATAGCGATCCTTTTCATAGATTACATACAAAATATTTTTTTCCGATGATGAGCGTTTTGTTAAAGATTATTGAGGGTAAACATTGATTTTTTTATATCTTGAATGAATTTTAACAGCGATTTATGGTGCTTTACAGTAGATTACCGTGTAATGCCCAAGTTTTAGTATTATACCGTTGTTTATTTTATTCTACCGTAGTTTATCGTGCTTTATAGCAATTTATTATGGTTTACCGTGATTTAATTTTCTCTACCGTAGTTTATCATGATTTATTCACTTAATCATGGTTTACCGTGGCTTATTTCATCTACCGTTGTTTATCTTGCTTAATCCAATTAATCATGGTTTACCGTGATGTATTGTTTCTCTACCGTAGTTTATCATGCTTTATCCAATTAATCATGGTTTACCGTGGCTTATTTTTCTCTTCCGTAGTTTATCATGATTTATTCACTTAATCATGGTTTACCGAGGCTTACTAGTATTTCATCTACCGTAGTTTATCGTGCTTAATCCAATTAATCATGGTTTACAGTGATGTATTTTTCTCTACCGTAGTTTATCATGCTTTATCCAATTAATCATGGTTTACCGTGGCTTATTTTTCTCTTCCGTAGTTTATCATGATTTATTCACTTAATCATGGTTTACCGAGGCTTATTAGTATTTTATCTTCCGTAGTTTATCGTGCTTAATCCAATTAATCATGGTTTACCGTGATGTATTTTTCTCTACCGTAGTTTATCATGCTTTATCCAATTAATCATGGTTTACCGTGGCTTATTTTTCTCTACCGTAGTTTATCATGATTTATCCAATATATTATGATTTACCAGAAATCTCACCATCCAGATATTAAATTACTTCACAATTAAAAAAAAAGTTTTGAACTAAGGCAATATAAGAGATTCGCTTCGCGAGAAAAACTGACAATATCTATTTAATAATTTGATATATTCACCAAACGTCACTCTTGTTGATTATGAACACAATAATAAAGTTATCCATCACATTTAAAATACATCATTTTCCTGCCAGGAAAACAGTTCTTACAAAAAATTTCAAACTTAAATGACTTGTTATGAAAACGGAAAATGACGAACATTCCCGGATAAGAAGTATGCATATGCGGTCACAAAGAAATATAAAAAGACCACGTGACTCGAGCAGAAGATGACATTTCAAGTTATGTGATGTTTATATACAGTAATGACACATGAATAATCCGTAACATAAGAATGCCACTAATTCATAAATACCAATGGGAATATTTTGCTACATGTCATTATAAGCACACAGAAATATTCCGTTCATATATTCACGTGAGAGTTTCCAAAGATTACGTACCAGTGGCCGGACAACGCTTTGACTGTTTATGTTACATCTGGGACAATATTGAGGATGAAATACACTAACGAGATGTAGATATATGACCGAGTTGTTTATAATGTCTTTAAGATTGTGGTCAGTCATTAAATACGACGACGACAACAACAACAACAACAACAAAGAAATAACTTAAACAAAACAAATAACAAGAAAAAGAAACAGAAAAACGATCTCTTTCAAAATGATTATTTGCGTAAAAACAAAGTTATTTCCACTTTTTGGTCTAGTTCAAGTGGTAAAGCGAAAATGATAAAAACGTTGGCCCTTGTACATAAATAAAATACACGGCTTAAAATCTCTTTTAATGCTTCTTGACTCTTTGACCCTGTAAACATTTTATTATCAAGGTTTGCTTGGGCTATATCAAAAGTGATTTGTTGACTAGTTCTTTACAATATAAAAATGTAAAATGTTCTTCTACATATCTGTAGAAGATATACAAATTTTATTTCTGTTTAAAGCTGCATGCCTCAAGATGAGCCAAACTATGTCAAGAAAATCAACCTTGAGAAAAATGTTTTTTAAAAGATTTTAAGAAATGTAAAAATATTCGCAATTCAAGTAATAATTTACATTGTAAAATTTCATGAAAATTAGCATGGATCTGGAGGCATGCTGCTTTAAACAGCAGATAAACAACTGGTAAGTGAAACTAAAATAAAACAACAACAACAGCAACGTTTTTGATGAAGATAACGTTTATAATGATAGTAATACTTGTACAAATGATAATGACAGTGATGATAACAGCAACAACAGCAATAATGATAATTATGGTGATTATGATGATTTTTGGTGATAATCATAAGTAAAAATAGTTTTCAGAGTTCACAAAAGTTTGTAATTTATAAAGTGTTGCATGAATATATTTAAATATTATTAAATGAGTATAGATTCCGTATTGAATTTATAGAACAACTTCAATTAAATATGTAATATTAGTCTTATTTGTTTTTATATGATAAGCACAACATGACCATGTCTTTTATTACGAAATCGAACAAGCATAACGGGTATGTGATAAAAGAAAAGTTTCAGGATCTTTTACGCTTATCTTGATCTAAACCCCAATTATTTAAGATATTTTATGCTTATCCCGATCTTGATTCTATGTGAGCAAGAGGTTGGTATTAGTGTGCCCAGAGATTTAATATTACCGAGATAAATCATATATACAAAGTTAGTAGATAAATATTCATGGTATAACGTAATATGAACCCGTAGATTAATTCTGATAATAAATTGTCGTTTGAAATGGGACTAAAATGCAACGAAACTGAAATATAGCCATTCTCCATTCATATTATTACTTATCTATATACGCGGATTGATACAGATTATCTGAAAGGTTTTCACTGGACGTTTCTCATATGGTGGTGTTAGTGGGGGACCTGTATCAATTGTCATAATATTTCGGCCAGACGTGACTAAATCACATACTTGTTTCCCAATTCAGACTGCTGAAAATTAATAACAACATTTTTATATTAGTACAGATGGTTCTTATAAGCATTTTTTAAGTTTGGTATGTTCAATATTCTCATTACACTTTTCTTATCTTAACAACATTTGTATCTATCAACAGTAATAATGCGATGTGTAAATAAATCCCATTGAAAGTATTGTGTACGCCGCAAAGTCCTTCACTAATCTAAGGGCTGAAATTGTTAATTTAGAAGTTTATATACTTCTTCTTTTTAATTCTATCAAAGCCACTCAAATCTTCATCGCGAATTTAGCATTGATGATGTACTTTGATTGGACAAAACCTGTCAAATATAAAAGTTTGATTTGCATGCCTTATCTAAAACTGGACTATACAAAAACTTGACGTTACTCTAGTGACCGCATTTAGGACTTGTATGTTATTGTAGATGTTAAGTGTATGGATGTAAAAAAAATTGAAAAGTTTTGATAAAAAATACATTTTTTTATCTTTATCGGAAAAATGTTGAAAGCAAACTTTGTGATTGCTTTGCTGCTTGTTTTTTCTTTCTTACGTGGTAGGTATTTTTTGCAACTGTGCAATCTATTTTAAGCAGGCTTTGCTTTGGATATGACTAAATGAACAATTATTTCAAGAAAGAATTACTATTATATGAAGTAAATCTGTTTTACATATTTTGTAATCTTCTAAAGCAAACGTTCTGTGATGAAAAGAAAATTTCCAGCAATGTTAAGATATGTCAAGAACAAAAACAACTTTTACGTTCTATTATTGAAATAAAAAGTATTAAGCAAAGAACCACCTATTCGCGTTAACTAACTGGCATGGCTGAATGGTTAAAGCGTCTGACTAGTGATTTAATGATCGTGTGCCGCATGGGTTCAAACTTCAAACTCTGTCAGGGGCAAGTCGTTGTTACTTTACACTCAGTACTGATTGGTTTCAACTGTGTCTATAAGCTTATAGCTTTCTATACAGTCGAACTAAAATAAATTCTGTATAAAGCAAATAACTGAAATATATACTATGTTTTTCTTATCCATTCTATTTAATACCAAAACAACTTTAATCTTGTGAGATTAAACTTTTAAATTTTTTTATTTATTTTTAATATTTTTATTATAGGCGATGCAGCTGTGGATGCGGCGGACTGTGTTAAAAGACCACGGGTAAATAATCAAACTTTGTAAAGAGATGCGGGACGTTTCTTTGAAACTGAAAGGTTGTGTCACTCAGGATCGTCTTGATTTTAATAAATGCGCTTCCAAGGGTGAAATAACTACTATAATACTTTCCATGGTTCTGAAACAGTTTTTTTTTTTTTTGGGGGGGGGGGGGGGGTTATATCAGGATATAGACCCCACCCCCACCATTCCCCAAAAAATGTGCAAGTTCAAGTTAAAACAGCAGATTAAACCATGTCTCCGAGTAAAAAAATCACAAATTTTACAATGAAAGAGCATTATATGAAAAAGTACATCTGAAATATCAATACACAATTTAATCTGCAGATTTAAAGCAGCATGCCTCCATATTCTAATTTTCATGAAAGTTTTAAAAAGGTATCTTAAAGTTAAATATTGTGAAGTGAAAAAGATAAGTAATTTACTATTGCAAATAACACTTACAATCCACGTAAAATACCAAAAGAAGTTTGATTTTCTTTAAATATTTTCTCTCATCAAGAAGCATGCATTTTTAACATAAAAAAGTTTTGTTTTACTATATTTAACAAATAGAGTCATTAAATATCATTATATGTACCAAGTTTATCAAGAGAGGAAATGTGGAAATGATTCTAAAGTTTAAACTGAAAATTCATTTGCTGGTTCAAACCATCTCTCTATATACAGGCAAGTTATTTGATGGGAAAAAAGGCAATTAGAAGTAAGAACGAATACCAGTTACCAAGTCTTCTAAAGAAAATTGTGTAAATGAATAGGAACTTTTAATTTCACGATGAAAGATAATGTGATAAATAGCTTACTAGATTAAAAAAATACATATACTGACAGATTTAAAGCAACATGCCTCTAGATACCTGTCAATTTTCATGATTTAAAAAAATGTATTCAAAAAGTAAAATATTGTGAAGTGAGCAAAGAAAATAATCTACACATTTCAAACGGCACTTACAACCCATGTAATTTACCAAAAATAGCTCAAAATATGCAAAAATAGCCATTACTGTGTTAGTAACTATTTTAGAAAATATTGTGAAAAATACTGCAAAATAGGTCATTAATTGCATATAACATGGAAAATACTAGTTTTATCTTGAATCTTTTTACTTTTCTAAAAATAGCAGTACAATTTTCTCAAGTTTGATTTCCTTGAAATATTTTTGGTCATCTGGTGGCATGCAGCTTTAATCTAAAATGATTTTTAGCATATGATCTTTTTACTTATTTTAATCATATGTCAAGCTTTTGATTATGATCCTTTCCGTGGGATATTTAGAATTCAACACGTGACAATATATGCAATATATTGTTTACATGGCAACCAGACTACACAACGACCAGTTAAAATAGATTTTCGGACTTCACAATGTTAAGTAGAACAATAACAAACCATAATAACCCACTGTACTACAAAATGATTAATAAAAAAAACCCCGAAGAGCGCAATTAATTGACGGAAAAGATTATTTCATTTGAATATGTTTGCATTGCGAAATTCTCCAGTTGCTATTCATTGTTCGCGACATTTCATTTTTGATAATCAAATGCCCTCATACCAATCGGAATTATCGGCTATTATGACCGACGAAAAGGCCTGAGAAGTTGCTGTCGCCCTTTCACAAACATAAGGGCGTCGCGATTCGGTGTGGACGCCAATCAGCAACAACTACTCGTAATTTATGTATACCGTGGATAAAATGAAAATCTATCCACTTCAACGACAGACAAGTAAATATCTTATACTAGGGTAGTACAACGTATTAAAAATATGTACGTACACATTTTTGTAAACTGTGCAAATTCATTTACAATAATATAATGGAACTTTTGATATCTAAATGCGTACGCATAAAGGCAGGCACGCATTAGCAAGTGAGCAATAGTCATAAAATGCATGAAAAAATTACTTGTTCATTAACTTTATTGTCAATAAGAACACTCCGGAAACACTCGATAAATGACTATCTGTTGAACAAAGTTAATCAATCAAGGAATTAAACCTCTCTGTTTTTCAATGAACATGCTGTTTATTTTAAGAATCACATAAAATAATACTTCATTTAAAGAGCTTACTATAGAGCCTTCTCATTAAAATGTTAATCTTTAAGCACAATTCTTCTTTTAATATACTCGATTTTTTCTGAACACTGAGTCAATTATTTTCAACAATTTTGTGTAAAGAATAGATACGTAGTAATATTTACCAATTAGATCTAACAAAAAAAAGATAACCTATATACTTTAACCTTTTATTTCTTTATTTGCACGTTTTTTATAATTAATTGCAAATATCAAAAGTGATTTTTATTGAATTAAAAATAATTATCGTGAAAATCGATACATAAGTTAAGAAAATTAAATGTTTGAAAATTATACTTCATTAACATGTGACAATCTCCAGTCTAAATCCTATTGCACGCCATGAATTGTAAATCCTTACATATATTTCGTATACTGAATTGCAAAATGGCCTGTTATCATGACATCTTTGCCGATGAATAAAACATAATAGATTTAGGCAACAATATTATTAAAAAAGTTTAAAGGCCCATTATTCCTAAGTATGCTTGCTTTAATTCTTATTTCATAAAAATTTCTTATTTTTGGTGCCCCGTTACTTACTGGCGAATAACTTGAACCAGTTTTTGTTTCTGTTACTTTTTTGGCAATATGTACTATTATAGTGATTTAGTATTTTGCATAGAAGTCAAAAATACTACTTTCTTTACATTTTTGCTGCTTTATGACAAATATTTTCACATTCAACACTACTTTCGCTGTTAAGCATCATTTTAACATTATAATATGTTTGCTCTTTCTAAACAAGGAAAACAATTATTCATTTCTGAGGCATAATGGGCCTTTAACATTTGAATTATTTATGTCATGTTTTAATTACTTTCGAAATTGACTTGCTTTAGGTTATATACTGTTGTCAAGTCGATATATATTGCGATTCACTATATGTATAAATTGAATAGCATGTTCGAAATATATAAGTATTCTAACAGTCTGAAAATTGATCACGGACAATGTGTCTAATAGTCATTTGTACTGCACTGCTTATTCGCCACTTATGTGATATTAGTAGTCAGTCACTTGAGGAGAAATTGATGATTACTGGTTAGTCACCCAGGAAAACCGGTAAGCTGGGTCGTCCCCCGAAATATGGCAAAAAAGTGTTAGTCGGTGAAAAAAAATGAAACAAAAGTAACGATTATATCTATACATCATTTTAGATGATATCTTATTGTTTTTTTTGCAGGTTAGATACCCCTATTGTCTCGATAAATTTGATGCACGAGAAGGTCATACTATGTGCTTAGGTGCCATACGTCAAAGACTAATGAATGACACAGGTAAAATCATTGCAAAAATACCGGCAACATAATACTGAAGAGCAAGATGGTTGCGCATTGTATTGAACATAAATATGATAAGTTAAATGAAATAGAAAACATGCTTGCATGTTTAACATTATTTTTATCTTGTTATCTTGAATACTTTTTTAAATCATCATTCTTAGATTTGAGAGTGTTAAAAGAAAGAACATGGGATTGCTGCCTAAGAATAATTGTATTTTCACTGTTGTCTTTAATATAATAAATGAAATAACTTAACATTACATCGCTGACAAGAGTCCTTTAAAATATGAAATATGAATCGATATTATTGAAGAAAATCATTCAGGACTTGCAGTAAAAAAATCCTAAATGGAACGAAAAGCAATTTTGAACAACAGAAGGCATGCGATAATCCGTGATTATGTTGTGCTTCTTAATATATTTTTCGTTTGCTTTTCAAATTGTTGTATTTCAGCAAGAAATTTGCTTGAACATCTCCACAACGATTTGAGATCATCAGTTCATCCACCCGCAGCTAACATGATGCTAATGGTAGGGGAAACAAAGTTTCTTTTCATTTTTTATTTCTTTATTAAAGGGACTCCGCTGAGGTTTTTTTGGCATGACGGGACTGGATTTTTTTCCAGAGATTTGTGTATCATTTGATGTAGCTCTTGGCCAATAACTTGCGTGCAAAATTTCAAATCATAACATCACCCCGTTATTCCATAATCGTCATTTGCATTGTGCAAAAGGACACAAATATATAAAGCGTTGCAACGCTTTTCACTCAAAATAGACTGGAAATCTTAAAAAAAATATTTTTAATTTCATTCTGAGCATATTTCTTAATATTCCTTGCAGATTTTTTTCATTTTAAGTGCACTACCTGGTCTATGCAAGATTTTCAAATTTTATTATTTGAAATCAAATAAAATTTTACCATTTCATGTTTAAATGTTGATTTTTTTTATTTAGCCGGTGCTAGCGGACGTGGACGGTAGTTTGTACTTTACAGTACCGTCCATGAACAGGCTCAATCAAACCGATCAATTTTGCCGTTTTGAACTTTTTTTAGGGATTATTGTTTTCTCTATTTTAAGGCTTTTTTTAACTTAATTTCAAATTAACGTACAAAATATAAAAGGGAACAAAATGCATCTGTAAATCAGTTTATTTTTATGGCAACAATTCTTTGTTAAAAAACAAATGAAAAGGAAAGAAATTGATTTCAACGCATTTGCAAAACAGGAACAACTTTATAATTCACTAATTACGCTAACATGGATTTTAAGTCCTCCACCATTTGTACAATCGATACATATTTTTATTGAATTTACCATTACTAATATAAATAGATTGCAGGTAGTTTGAATTAATGGTTTTGTTTAGTTTGATATTGAAAATAAGATAGGAACATTGTCTTCATACTTTTATGTAGTCCGTCTCTCAACCCAGTGATCGTGGGTTCGTGCCTTACTTAGGTCACGATCATGTACCAGCACTAAACAGTTTTAATAAGTGGACACAAAAGTTGCATGATTTTGATTTGTGACCGAGCTTAAAAAATATGTTGTAACATAAGTAAAAAAGATGCGTTTATAAGCTAGAATTAAGCAATATTGTCAATATTGTTACATGTTATCGGCACAGAAGAGAAAAAAATCATTTTATTGATAAATTTTGTTTATGATCAAAGAAATATTGACACTTGTCTTGTGATATTATGGTCATGTAAATTATTAATTTAGCAATATTTCATATGTTCACAGCAATACAACCAAGTCTTGGAAAAGGAAGCACAAATATGGGCAGAACAATGTAACATGACGCATGACAGACCGGATCTTCGCTTTGTAGCAGGTATAGAACAGTTCAAGGGTCAAAACCAAACTGGTATCAAATAATGATTTACTTAACATGATATGATTTAGATGATTTGCAAGAATTGTTTTACAGATATAGTTAGAATAAATCAAAGAAATACTTTGCATTATATGAAAAAAACCTCTTCAAACTTCCTCAAAGAAATACTTTGCATTATAAAAAACTCTCCAAACTTTTAAAGAAATACTATGCCTTAATAAAAAAACTCTACAAACTTCCTGAAAGAAATACTTTGCATTATAAAAACCTCTCCAAACTTCCTCAAAGAAATACTTTGCATTATAAAAAACTTCCTCCTATATCAAACCCTTTGGTCTGATGTAATGGTTGTCTGACTTAGGAAGAAACCTCATAATTGAGCCGCGTCATGACAAAACCAACATAATGGGTTTGCGACCAGCATGGATCCAGACCAGCCTGCGCATCCGCGCAGTCTGATCAGGATCCATGCTGTTCGCTATCAGTTTCTCTACTTGTTATTGGATTTGTAAGCGAACAGCATGGATCTTGATCATACTGCGCGGATGTGCAGGCTGGTCTGGATCCATGCTGGTCGCAAACGCATTACGTTGGTTTTGTCGTGACGCGGCTCATATTGATATGTGTGGTTATTTCATACATTATTATTAAGTTATTTAACATCCAGCATATCTGATTGTCTGCGGAAGAGATATTTAAATTTCTAAATCTTGAAATATCTAAATTCTGGTTAATTCTAGGTAATGTACATTTTCAAATAAAATAAAATCACTGAAAATGATATAATAACATTTATCTACTTCTAGGACGATTTGCTGTCGGGCAAAACATTGCCAAGTCTTCAGTGTATAACTGGACACGCATCTTTGAACAATGGAAAGGTGAAAATGGATCGTTCAAATACGGTGGTAAGAATAATGCAACGGCTGTACAAGAGTTTGCACAGGTTGGTTTATTATTGGTCCTGTCATTTGTAAAATAGCACCGGGCATATATTTAATATTTCTCCTACAAAATAAATAAAAACTAATCAATAAATTATTGATATAATTGGGATGATTTAATTCGATTTTGATAAATGCCATAAATTAAGATTAAAATGTTTTCTTTAAAATCAAATTATTTTGTCATGGTATAGTAAATAATCATTTATAACTATTCTTTTAAACTGTTTGGGTGTTTTTTTTCTTTCAAACAAATGTTTATCATTTTTGATAAAAGACTAATAGTAAGATATCCACCGTGAGCATCGAAAACAAAGTAAAAAAGGTAAAAATAACAATTTTGCTTTGACTTAGTCTGTTCATGAGGGATAAAAGTATGTGCAACGTCACTCACGCCCCCTAGCACCGGCTTAAGAAGTATTCAATCTTCAGCACTCAAGTTTGGAATTCTCTTGAATGACCAGAATAGATTGCGCATGCGTTTATATAATTTTACTAGGTACTTATTTAGCATTTTTTTATTGTTTTCAGATGATTACGGCGGAGACGAGTCTTCTTGGATGCGGAGTGAGTAAATGTGGCACGGACTACTTTTATGTCTGCAATTATGCGCCTGTGTAAGTATATCATCATTAAAACAACCGTAAGTTACATTTAAATAGAGACATAGATTTCTTAAAACGTTATCAATAGATTACATTGTACTTATGATGAACTATATTAAGTAACATTCGTGTTCGATTTTATCTTTTGGCAGTTAACTCTTACATAAAGATACTGGTTATAACAATTAGATGAAATAGTGTCCGTACTCTCAGTGATAGACCTTCATTTTGTATGGAATGACTGCCTAACAATAAGATAAATTAAAAAAAAGGATAAAAGAAAAATCAATAAAGGGATTAAAATGAAACTTAATAGGGTAATTAAAACAGAAAAAACGCCATACATCAACAAACAAACCATAATTTTGAAGATAATATTAAGTGAAATATATATTAAAAGAAAAGGAATTTCAGAAAATGAAATAAGATACTGAGTAAAAACACAGTAGCAGTAATAGTAGCAGTGGCACTAGCAGATGTAGTAAAAACAATCCAAAAATACTAAAACTTCGCTATCAACGTGTAAACATTATCATATCGTTTTGTCTTATCCTCAACATAAGTTAGGTGTAAAATCATTAAAAATGGTTTGACTTAGTTTTGTTGATCACTTTTATATGTCTTACAATACTTGCCTTTCCTTTTCTGATATCAGAATGAATAACAACAACCTAGATAAACCATATCTTGAATCACAATCGGGCAAATGGTGTGACTCGTGTTCAAAAGTATGTGATAACGTCACATCTCATATGTGCGGTGAGCCTTTATGTTGTTTTTCTATATACTTGCATATATAGTAATACATTATATTATTATTATATTGTTATATTATATCATACTGTTTGACCGTGTATTCAATCACGCCAGTATCTGCCATATCCTTCATTGCAGATACTGGCGTGATTGTCTAGAGCGAACGGAAGAATTAAGTTAGTAAAATTCTGAAAAAGTAATAGAGCACTTCAAACGCAAATGCATCGCTTAACACACTTAAAAATAGCCAATGATATATTTTATTAGAGAACGTTTACCTTGTACTTTTCACGTGTATAATATTACAGATTCGATAATTGATTAATTCCTTTTGAATTAAACGACCATAAAATTCGTAACAATATAAGAAAAAAAATATGCCAGATTTGCCATGTAGAACTTAATATCATCTAACATAGCTTTACAGCCATTCAAGATTATAACCACAATTGTACATCTGCAAGTATAAAAGACCAATATCCAAGTGTTAAAAATAATGCAACCAGTGTAGCTTTGGCTGGTCAAATTGCTTTTATATATAATCAAAAACATTTGTATGACCATTTTTACATAAGAAATAAATATGACGGAATTTCATGTTATTGTACAATTAGATTGTTTTGGAAAGTTCTGTATAAACGGTGGCAGTTTGGATCTACAAACATGTACGTGTAATTGTATCCAAGGTGTTCAATCATACGATCCAGAACATTGCGAGCGTAAGTTTTTTTAATTTCATCTATAGGCTAGAAAGACACATAAGTTATGTTATTTATCAGAAGGAATCAACTCTTAGCCTGCTTACAGCAACTGTGTCCAACCATGAGACCATTGCGTACTAAGTTCAGCCGGGACATCCGCGCCGTCTGATTATGGCCTGCACTGATCGCTGATCATTCGACAGAATATTTTAAAGTTTTCCCTATAAATTATGAATGGTTTTGTCACGAATGAAAGATGGACAAGTCCATTTAAGATATATAGAGTGGTAAATATTAAGGACTTACCTGTGGTACGATTATGATTTTTAGGAAAGGGTTTTAAGTCAAATAGAGATTCTCACATACACACGAAAACTTAGCAGGAACTACTTAATATAGGTTGACGCATCTTTGTACTTCAATAAAAGCACGCTTATGAAACTTGGGAAGAACCACTTACATTTCGCAACGAGCTGAAAATTGAAAATAATTATTTCATCATAATTGTAAGGCTCAATACACGTATATGAGAATATCTAAAATTTCTCACTTCTCGACAAGTTTTCAACTATATCATTTCAAAACAATAAAAATCCTTTGTTACAAGCTTTAATAACCTTTGTTATGTTATTAATTTGAAATGGAATTTCAAATTCAGTCTTTATAAAATACGTTGCCTCCTTCTTAACATTTCAACGATGCCAATGAAGTATGATAACCATTTCATTTTCTTTCCAAACATACGAGCATATAATGCTTAACAATATTTGATAATTACAGTAAAGTGTGACAAAGATGGTGATGACAAGACCCGCTGTGGAAAGCCACCGTATGAAAAATCAACATGTAGCAGTAATCCTGACACAGCGTTCCACTGTCCATGGATGTGTGACATTTGCCCATGTATGTGCTAACTTCTTTAACTATATCTTTTGTACGAGTATTTGCATAACTTCTCTACTTTTAAGTTTTGCTTTCTTATATATTTTGCTATTTTAGCATACTCGTTAATTAATTTAAAAAAATAACACATTCGCAAATCAATCAAAAGATTCTTATATACACACGAATCAATGGCTTTGGACATTAATCTTCTAATTATAGATGCTGGCATGAATTATAGCAGTGAAGGCAAGGCATTGCTTCCTTGGGAAAGAGGTCTACCCAACTGCACATCCACCACATTGACACACCCAATGTCAGGTCAAAAGGGCGTGTCTACCGCCTCCAGCATACAAACCACTCCTTCCTCAAACCATAACGGAACACAGTTTGGTAGCAGTCGTAATGGCGGTTCAGATCTCAACAACCCTGTTGTCCGAATTAGTGTTGTTTTCATGATGATATATTTCACGGCAGAATGGTTCTGCAAATTCTGATATTTCATAGACAAAAGATATTTTGTAGAACAGTAGCGTATGGCTAAATGACAAACTGCAACAATGAACTATATATAATACGTTTATGACAAGGGCATATTCTGCCCAGTTAGTGTAAATGTTTTTACTAGGAGCTTCACTGAGGTAAAAAATCGCAGGAAAATATGCCTGGTTGATGTCATGTAAAAAAACATCAGTGAAGTCCCCTTTAAATTGTGAAAAACCTTTAAAATGTTAATTTTTGCCTGTTGCATGTTTTGAGATAGCTATATGAACGTTTACCTTGTAAAACTTTTTTAAATAAAACTCTTTAAAGTGACTTGTATATTTGTTATTATTGCCAAAAGTTTTGATTAGAATAGTGTAATATCTATATAAATAAAGCACAAGACTTGTCACTTGGCTTCAAGTGAATGTTGTAACAAGAGCATGTACATTGTATCATAATTATTGAAATTGTCAGTTGTATCTCTTGCTGATCATGCGTGATTTCGTGTACTTGTTTCAATTTCGAAAACAAAGAAAGCGTAGAAGTTTTAGCGATGTCTTTTAACCCTTAGCCTGCCGGCGACAACAGAAAATGTACTATGAGACCAGTGCAGACCAAGAACAGTCAGGACATCCGTGTCGTCTGATAAGTGGTCTGTACAGTTCTCTTTTCAGAATATATTTTGAAATGTTCCCCGAAAATCGTAAATGGTTTTGTCGAGATGGAAAATAAACAAGCAAATGTCGTTATAAATTTCCTAAATAAAGGTCAAAGAAAATAAATTACAGTTTGGCATCATTTATAAGGGTTAAAAAGGTGATCATAACTTTTACAAGCCTTACGAAGCATGATGTCATGTATGGCACATCGATGTCAGTATTTTTGATGATGAATCATCAGTTGTGTTGGAAGTTATAAAAGTTTCCAGATCAGGTGTTCTTAAGAATGTAGATAATCAGAGTAACAATGACATTGGAAACGAAATATTATAGCATTTTAATTACAAAAATGGATACATGTTTCTATAAAAATCACGTGTGTATGCATGTTGTATTTGATCTACGTATTTGTAATCACACAATAAAGATCTGCGATGCTCATATTATATAAACTAGTATCTTTGTGAGCTTAAATCTGCAATATCCGTAGAAGTTTCCACAAAATGATTTATTTATAAGATATAAAATGTTTTCCTTGAAATGTATTGGTAAGAGGGAAATCTAGATATTCATTGTAGACTGTAAAACAATCATTGCCAAAGAATGGTTACTGAAAATTACAGACATTTTTCGTCCATTGACAGTATAATGACTCACATTTACGAGATGTTTAGATACAGGTCTAAAGAGATTCAATATATTACAATACATTTGCATAAATAAAAAACAGAACATCTCCATATCCCAGTTGCCTTTTTTGCATACTATATCAATGACTTATTTATATTTATTTGTAATAAGTGGAAAAAGAGGTTTCATTACAAAAAATATACAAAAGTACTTAAAATAAGCAATTGTGAGTGTTCCGTGATAAATCATTCTCAAACCTTCAAAGTGAATTGGTCTATTACGGTAGGTTTGTAATACCATGGATAATAATTATGCTGATTGTATTAAGTATTAGACATTAAAACAATATTTTGGAATAGAATGAAAATAATGAAATTATTGCCTATTCAATATAACACAATTGTTTTACATTTTAAAGGAGGGTATTTAATGTCCATTACAGTATCATTGGCAACATTAAACTTGAGAATAAAAAAAAATTAATTAAAGATGCTCACGTACTAACGAATACAATCATACACACACATATCCAAACAAACAAATACGAATACAATTACTGAATACCTTAGTCGCGTTTCGTCTCAAACCGAATAACACTCACAGTACCCATGGAGATTCTAACCACTGTCATTTTTTGTTTTGCAACAATAAGCATGTATATACAGAAAAACAATAAAAATAATAATAAGATTATCATTATTGATGACTAAAGTATCATATTCAAGCAAGCTTAATGGAATTGATGCTTCTTTGAGAACAATTTACATAATATGAACATTCCGATAATTAAATAACGGTTCCAATTAGCATACAATTATAACGATTGATTCCTTGATAAAATATAGTCCCATAGTGACTGTGGAAAGATAATTATTTCTTAATTATCTATTGAACGCCAAAGGAAATCGTTACAAGGGACTATAAATAGATGGCCAAGGAAATACTTCGAAACATATTAATAAATATTCAAAAATATTATTATAGCTCTGATATGTAAAAAAAAACCCACCGATTTTAAAAAGAGCACTGATAAAAGAAATACAGAGAGTGGTAATAAAGTGATATAAGTACAACACTGTCATGCTCCTCCTCAAATGCTTCCCCATATCACAGAGCTAAGTTCAAACGGAGATAAAGCTATGACGACATACTCAGGGATTGATTATCCAACAAGTTCACATTTTCATGAGATTTTCCGAGACCATGTTTGACACGAGAAAAAAAAAGAGTAAAAAGATGTAAATAATTTTCGGTAATGGATAATAGATATAAACACATTCGCTTACATAAAACAAGAAATTGATCAACTCGAAGTGCCAAGGAATATCGTGCAAGGGATTGTGATTATGGACGGAAAAATTGTCAATTTTTAGAAGTTCTCACCCTTATGTAATTTAAGCCTCTGTGTAAATCATACAATAATCCATGGCCAGAATTATATTCAAATTTCAGACTTTGTTTGATTCTGTTTGTTCATAAGAGAAAATGTAACGTATAACATCTTTCACGCCCCCTAGCACCGGCTTAGGCGATAAGATATTTAAATATAGTTTTTAAATACACTCATCATTATCATCTTATTTGTTAAATATATTTGATGACAGACGTACACTGATGATCTGTGAAGACAGGCTTTTGCTGGTTTACGGTAATGAACTGCAAAGTATGAAATGCCTGTGGGTATCAGCTTTTAAAAAGATGCAGCCATTTTACATCATATAGGTTTTTGTTTTATTTTTTACGCGCACACTAATATGGTAATATTTGCAAACAAACAACTGAAGTGAAAAACATAACTATAATAATGAAATATCATTGAACTATAATCATAAATAAACAAGAGCCATGTTAACACGGTCATCCCCCGCCGAATGTGTTTGCTCATTGGAAGAATATATATGTAGTAGAGCAGAATAATTCAATTTTAAGAGGTATTTTGGTAATAAAAACTAATGACTGAAGTGATTACAGATTTGAAGCCTATGTGAATAAAAACAAAGGACAATAACTGGAAAATAATGCAGGTTACGTTCTCAGTCTTGTGTACTGCACTTCTCCACAATGATATCTATCCACCTATTAAGTTTCAAGTTGATACCTGTAATACTTTTTGAGAGAAGCTCCGGAAAAAATATGATAAATTATAAAGGGTAGAGTTATCATTCTTGTGCACAGCATTCCTCCTCAATAAGATCTATCCACGTTGACATCTCAAAGATTTTTTGAGTTAAAAAAATAAGTATGAAAAATAGCAAAGGGCAGGTAAATCAAAAATTATGAAGGTTATGAGTTACCATTCTTGTTCACTGCACACCTCCTAAGTGAGATTTATCCTCCTATGAAGTTTCATGTTGATATCTCTTTTTTGAGTTGTTCCGGACAAAAATGTTATTGAGCTATAACCATAATGAAATTAAAGTCAAAAGTGTTGTTGACTTACCTTTTAACTTAGAAAAATAAAGAAAAATAGCATTTTCTCAAAACAGTAATAAGATATCTAAACTTCAGTTCAAACCATCGTAAACTCGTAAAACACAAGTGACATAGACTAAGCAATTTTTAAACAACTGACAAGTTTCGATTCAAAACAAATAATCAGAAAATAAAACCTTAAAATGTTGTTCAAATGAAAAATATATGCTAAAAGATGAAAACCCCCACTGATTTAATGCAATATCTACAATTATTGCCGTGTCACTGTAACAAGTCGAGAAATGTAAATATAATATAAATTTACAATAACAATTGCATGATAATATTTTATTAATACAGAAGTCATTTTTGTATTAACTATATCATTAACGAATATTTTATGTGCAAAAAACTAACTGTTAATGTTTTTAGAATTAGCATTAATAAAAATAGAATAGAATCGCCGAACATTTAAATAAAACAAAAAATATCTGTGTGTCAAGTTTAAGATGCAAAATTCTACCTAACATTAAAACTATAGAAAAATATCACATGTACCACTATTTTAAGTCCACTTTTTCTGTAACTTAGTCATTGTAAGAATAGAAATAAAAATAATTCCTTGGAAAAATGAACAGATCGTTTCAATTTTGGATTCCAGATTGAGATTCTTGTAAACGTGCTATCTCCCAACAACACATTCCATATCTACATTTCAAAGCAAACACTAAAAAATAATTCCTTAGATATATGAACAGACCGTTCCAATTTTTCATTCCAGATTGAGATTCTTGGAAACGTGCAATGCATACAATACAAAAGTAACACTATCTTTGCTCAAATTTTGTATCTATATTTATGGATGCTTCAAATATTTGAAATATTATTTTTGTTAAATTCATACTTTATAAAAATCACCTTTAACAACAAAGCTACATATTTTGAAGTGAATCGCACTTACTAGTCTTTAACAATTTCTTTTAAATATCTAAATGGGAGAATTCATTAACAATACTAGATCTAAATCGTGAGAGTTGGTTTATTGTTAAATACCTTGAATGAACTATCTGTTAGATTTACATCACGATTTCTCTTACTTATCACCAACAATTTATAATCATTAAATAACATGATAATTCATTTTTATATCTATTATTTTTTCATATTAATTTATGAGATTTTATTTTATTATATTTCATATTTAATTTCTTAACACCAATCAAATTAAACGTAGCAAAACAATCCAAACACCTGCGTTAGTAATCTAAGTTATTATCTCACAGGTTTTCTATGAGTGCATCATTTTTGCATTTCTCTAGTACTAAGCATATTTCAATGTTTCAAGATTTAAAAACGACAAAAGGTTTTGTTTATTATCATGAACATATTACATTAAAATGAACTATCCTGCAGAGTGTATTGAATTTCAGAAATATATTTAACTTACGCAAGGATATAAAATGTCTATATTAAACTCCGTAACCTTTCTACGTTGAAAGGACTTTAATCTTCTCTAAGCTTTTATTTAGACACTATTGAATCTTGCCAATGAACAAAAACTTCAAACTATCCTACCCTTATCTCTGAGTAGTTTTGAATTAACTATAAAATATGATAGTTTTCAACGCATTGGTCATTTAGTTGGTTTCACAAAATAAGAAGTTGCGAAAATAAGAAGTGGTGAAAATATTGTAAAGGATGTTCCAACAGAGTTTAATGGTACTGTGGCTAGTCTCTGTTGCTTTGATATCTGGTAAGCCTATCAAACGTATAAATTAAAACTTTTAATACATATCATTCAATTTTATTTTTTCAAAATTTATAATATTACTAAATTATCAACATTAGTATGCAATAATTAAATCTAAGAAAAATCTATTTTTCTAGTATATGACGACAGGTACTTGAAAGGATATTTGAATTCATATATCATGAATTGTTCTTTACTATTTTTATAGAACTTGTGTTGGTGAAAGCAAGTGACTGTGTGAAAAGACCTAAGGTAAATATATTTACTATAAATAATTTTATCATATTGCACTGACTGTTGATAATTTTTTGTTTGGTTTCACGACGCACCAACATAAATAAGGTCATATAGCGTCGACACAGGATAGATGATTTTGACTAACCTCGGGTGTTACAAACTTACAGCAACATCAATGATCAAAACCACCTCACCTGATTGATCTAAGAGATAAATAGACTACGGTAATTCGAATCCATTTAGTCGCCTCTTACGATAACGCAGGGATAAACGTTCACTGCAATTCTGATGCATCATCCGATAAAGGCAACCCAATAGCCACAAGCGGGAACTGTTGATAAATTTCACACTTTCAATTGAAAATCATGCAGAAGAAAAATGATTTTTTAGATGATTCTCATACAGAAAGGATACAAAAAGCATAATGCTCAGGAAAGCTAGAGTTAATATTTAGTTTTTGTCCACGCTTATGCTACATTGATTTAGTATGATAATCATACAGCTACTACGGTGCACAGTAAAAGTAAACGTATAGTTACAATGTTGTGAACATGTGAATATTTCTTATTTGAACTATTTTTGTGGTAGGCAACACCCATTGTCTTTGTTTCCAGATCTTTCTTTTTCTTTGGTTTTAGTATAAATAGTATCAAACATATATAAATGAAATAATATTTACGTACATATGAAACAAAAAGTTTAAATTTTCTTCTGGAGTTTCATAATTATATGTTTGAAATGACGAATTTAAGCGTGTCGTTTTACCTTTGAACTTTTTTGTTCCCCCTTATGGTTGCATATGCATCGAAAGACCCCTTTAGCAAATGTTTCAAAAGTTTGACTTCTAAGTTTCTCATATTGTCAGGTTAGATCTCGCTATTGTAAAGATAGCAATGAAGCCAGAAAGGGGCACACTATGTGTCTTGGAGGAATCAAACAGACACTTGTTACCAAAACCGGTAAATAACATTTACGTTACATAATTTACATAATTTTCACAAGCGAAAAATATTTCAATTAAAGTTAGATTTAACTTAACAAATACAGTAAAATATTAAGTTAATAGTAAGGATTTTGTTAATAAATCCCTAACCTGAAGTTAAACTGTAATGGTTTTGCCACAACAGGTTGGTAAAAAGGATTTCAATACAATACAAATGAGAGCTTCAAACAGTATAGAGACTGGTAAGGCTGCATGGATGTGCATGCTGGCCAGGCTATATACAGGTTGCTAAGGCTATTTACTATTGATTTCAGCAGATATTAGGTTAAAGCTTATATTTAGTAAATAACACTTATGACCTTCAAATGACGTCATCATCAATATCTTTATTACAATACAGATAAAACACGTTTTATTTTAAACGTATGCTCTTTTTTATACCTGAATTGTAATTTTAATTATATATTCTTTAGGTATTGAGTTAAAGCCTTTATTAAGCAAATTGCACTTATAACCTTTAAATGGTGTCATCATATATATCTTGAATACAATACAGATAAAACACGTTTTATTTTAAACGTGTGCTCTTTTTTTATATCTAAATTGTAATATGAATTATATATTTAACAGACAGAACCTTGCTTCAAGATCTTCACAACGATATTAGAGCAAGTGTCTACCCGCCGGCAGCCAATATGATGATTATGGTAGGTATTTCATTTTAAATATGATCAGCTCATGATGAAAATAACTTTTCAGTCTTAGTTTTAATATTTAAATCTTAACCCTAAAATATAGAAGTTAACAATAGAAAATAAATCTCTTTACTATATCATTATAGAAAATAAGGCGGCTTGTGACATACATAATTTCGCTGTGTCTGATCTTACACTGTAAAGCAATAAATATAGCAGTAATAGATCAAACTTGGCATTAAAATTAGCTTGATTCTATCTTCTATTAAATATGGTTAGATCTTTTGTTTAATTGAACAGAGATCATCAATGTTTATGAAATCTTATCACATTACTTAGCTAGAATCCCATACTAATACCATTTAGATCAATTTTAAATATTTGATAGTTAAGGAGCTTTTCTTGAGTGTATATATACTTATATTCAACTGTGATACAGTAACTGTTGTTTACATTTCAAATAACTGAGTATAACACTATAAATCCCCAGCTTAGGTTTAAAGTGGTGGTCACTACTGTTCATCATAACATGAGTTTTTCTGATATACTTAAATATCTTTGGCATAGAATTTAGTAGGAAAAATGCCTGATTGTTTAGCTAAGGATAGAGAGGTGAAGCTGTCCTTGTTAATGGAATGGAATTATGGGTTTATTATCAAATTAGGAAGATTAAAAAAAAATGTCCTATCTAAACTTGTTTTAATTCCAAACATATCAGCAATACAGTCAACCCTTGGAAAAAGAGGCACAGATTTGGGCAGAGCAATGCAAGATGTCACATGATCAACCAGACCTACGATTTCTCCCAGGTATCCTTATTTGTACATAAAAATCACCCATATATTACCAAACCCGTAGGTTGGAAAGTATAAAACAAAAACTTAATACAACAAAGATTTAATACTCATATGAAGGTAGATGAATATAAAAGACATCAAAAATAACGAAATTTTGTATGTTGTAAGTTTATAGCAAGTCGTTTGAGACTTTATAAAGAGGATATTGAGATAGTGTAGGTTCTATTTATAGAACGAATTGAATAGAATTATACTATTATATGTGAGGCTCAGCTGAGCATAATATAATTTTACTAAACAATTCATTAATGAAGCTGTACACATATTTTAATCTATTTATCACATACCCAAAATACAATTCATTTATTTATGCGCCAATACTGCAATACTAATATTTACTGTGGTTTGACTTTACGGAAACATATTTAGTTGAATTTTGCTTAATCAAGCTAGTAAGCTTGTCCAGCTTATATTCCTGGGCATCAACATACTTTGTATCCCTTTTAAAAAATTGATTGTTTTACAATGTTTTTGAACTTGTCAACAAAGAATTTATTATTTAAGATCAATAAGTGCCTTAGAATATGTAACACATAGACCAAATTGTTCTATAAAATTCCTTAAACCACCCAAATGCGAAACGATCAAAAATATTCTGTGTTCGTAATTTGACAGGAAGATACGCTGTTGGACAAAATATTGCAAGAAGTTCAGTTTATAACTGGACAAGTGTATTTCAACAATGGAAGGGAGAAAATGGTTCCTTTACCTACGGTGGTCCAAACAACGCCACAGATGTGAAAAATCTTGTACAGGTTTGACACATTTGAAGGATAAACTTTGTTCGCTTTTATTCTAAGGAGCTTTGATTGATTAATTGATAAGTTAAATACTTTGAGACTAACGGTAAAACGTGTTGATATGCGTTTAATTGAAGCTTTTGTAGTCTGGTAGATGTCCTGTTAAGACATCATCTGCCTTTTAAGATCTTCGTTTTATGGAGATTTCTAACAAAATTGTTATCTGATTGTAAGAAATCTATCCACTTGAGACACGTAAGAGTGCAACTTTTTCGTCGGATTCAGGGCTCAGTGTTTTTATATTTGTCTGGTCCTTCGGATCATTGAGTCCAGCTTTTTAAGTATTGAGAATTGAGTACAGTTCAAACCGGTGCTAGGGGGCGTGAGGGATGTGAACTTTTTCAACCCTCAAAAACACTCTCAATCAAACCGAGTCTGCAATTTTCAAGTAATTTTGATGTTTTAAATGCTTCGAGGGATCACTTTTTCCAGATATGTAAGCAGGGCAGCATCAATTTTACACTAAGTATTGGGATCAATTATTCTAAATGACCAGAAAAATGTAAGACAACATTCATTACATTCAAGTATTACTCGATTTTATTTTATTTAATGCTTACAGTTACCCCGTTTAGAATGTCATAAAAATGTAGGATGAAAATGAAATATACACTCCGCTTTAAATCCATACATTGTTTGTTAATCAATAGATGATAACTGCTGAGACTAGTTTACTTGGATGTGGGGCAAGTAAATGTGGATCGGAGTACTTCTTTGTCTGCAATTACGGACCCGTGTAAGTTTTTAGTAATTTATTCTTTGAATTTTAACTTACTTTTACTCAATCAAGAAAACGTATTTCCTTATATAAGGGCCCAGTTACACAGACGGTCGGTCCCCAATCGGTCATTTAATTTTAAATTTACTCGCTGTTTTGATCGGTTGTCATGCGTGGTTTTATTTCTGGTTTTCTGTGTAAACGGCCATCGGTGACAGAAAGCAAACTCAAACGGGAATGGGTCGATGATTAAATGCTGAAATACTTTTGGTTTTTATCGTTTGTAAATCGGAGCTAAATCGGGCGTAACGCTGATTAATCGGTGTTTGATAGCTAGTCATCAGTGGTTAAACACTTTCCGTCAGATATGGCCGGTGATTCATATTTGGTTTTCTTTGTCCGATCAGCGATATCGGTGATTAAGAGCTTGCATATCTCGTTATTTAACACCGATATCAGCTATTGGTCACCTGTTTTCCACCTATCAACTGCTATTGGTTTCATCGGTGAAAAATTACCGATTGGGATTTTTAAACAAGTTTAAAATTCTCGATCGGTGAAAATATTTTACAAATAACCGACAGCAACCTATATCACGAGATATGCAAGCTCTTAATCACCGATTTCGCCGACCGGACAAAAATAACCAAATATGAATCACCGGCCATATCTGATGGAAAGTGTTTAACTACTGATGAAAAGCTATCAAACACCGATTAATCAGCGTTACGCCCGATTTAGCTCCAATTTACAAACGATAAAACCCGATAGTATTTCAGGATTTTTATCACTGGTCCAACCCCGTTTGAGTTTGCTTTCTGTCACCGATGGCCGTGTACACAGAAAACCAGAAATAAAATCACGCATGACAACCGATCATAACAGCGAGTAATAAATTTAAAATTAAAATGACCGATTGGGGACCGACCGTCTGTGTAACTGGCCCCTTATTAGGAAATTCATTGATATTCTTAGGAACTTGTAGATTGTATGCATGAAACATTATTTTCTGTGTCTGTTTTTATTTTCGTTTTGTCACCTTAACTTAATGATATGATTAAATTGTGCTTTTCATATTTTTGAATTTCTATGTATCAGGACATATGATAGTGATGCCAATAAGCCGTATATAGAGTCAAATAAATGGTGTGAGTCATGTCCAACAACTTGCGACAACGTGACATCTCATTTGTGCGGTAAGTTTTATCGATAGGTAATGCAAAGATATTCATTACCCTTACATGCCTTACCGCGCGTTTTTCTATTTTAGTTTTTTATTGTTTCTTCCTGAACTACAAAAAGCTGTTTAAAAGTTTTATACTTGTGTCACATGTTCTGTTTCCATTTTTTAAAATGTTTCTTCCTGTTATACAAAAAGCTTTTCAAATTTTACACTTTTTATGTGTCACATATTTTGTTTTCCATTCAATTAAAACTGGTTATCAAATATATGCGGAAAAACTTTAAAGCTATATGTTTGTAAAAACGACTTTTACTGTATTATAAGAAAATATAAGAAACAGTACAATGTTCAATAGTGTAAGTGTATTTCGTTCAGATTGCGACGGAAAATTTTGCGTTAATGGTGGAATTCTTGACCTTCAGACATGCGCATGTAATTGCATTAAGGAAGTCAAGGCGTATAAAAACCACGAACACTGCGAGTGTAAGTTGTTAATACCATGCTATCATGTATAAATTTTATCGGAATAAGCTTTATATACAATAAAGATAAATAAGATAATCATTTAAAATTACGACTTTGAATAACATTGATAAATGTAAATGAAAATTTGTTAAAAACGGTCTGACCAAACATCTCGGTCCATGATGTCGTTCAGCTGATAAAAGTAACTTTTGAACAATAGAACTGATATGAAAAGATCAGTTCAATATTTTTTTAAATATTGTTAAACATTTTCAAACCAGGCATCGCAGTGTTTACAATGATTCAATTATTAAGGTGTAATCAAACTTAAAGCATCAAACCGTCATTCATTTTTTAAAATTAATTACAGAAACAAACAAAAAACATTTGATTATATATTTCAGTACAATGTGGTAGCCATGTTGATGATGCACGATGCAATAAAGCACCTTATGTGAAGTCATCATGCCGAACTAACATAACCACAGCCTTCCATTGCCCGTGGATGTGCGATATTTGCCCTTGTATGTTACTAAATATTGTTACATATTAAACATGTTAAATATTGTTAAGCCTTGTTTAATATGAGTTTTCATCTCTATTAACTATGTGAAGAACGTAAAAGACGTACATTCTCAACTATGTTGTGTTTGTCACTACTTTATTTCATTTTATTGTAAAGATATAAACAAAACATGCTCCATACTTTACCTCTGTAATATTTTGCTGGGCATTCGGGAACAATGATTACATACATTTACTATTAAGGGTCGAATACCACTTAAGCCAGTGTCAGAGAAGCTTGAAATATGTTGCTCTTTTGTTATCTCATTACACCGGGTCTTTAACTTTCACCTTGCCATTTCTTTAGATCATCCTCCATATTTTTGATTTTTATGAGTTTATTTTTAAATGAACTTAAGATATGACTGTTGCATTGATTTTGCAGATGCTGGCATGAATTATACTGGTGAGGGTATCACACTTCTTCCCTGGGAGAAAGGACTTCCTTATTGTCCAAATGCCACTGTACCAAACAACACTATACCGAATTCTAGCAGCACGAAAACGGATGCTCAAAGAAACAAAGGGTCAAGTCCGATTGGCATGCAAGTTACTACAGGCTTCGGTGTTGCCCTTGTGTTCCTACTTTTTGCAGCATAATGTGATAAATATGTTCATACTATTTCTTCATGACAATGTGAGAAAGTTTAAGGATTGATAATGATGAACATAATTTTGTGATTAAAATCGAAATTGTAACAATAATATTAATACATTTATAATATACTTTCATTAAATTGAAAACAAAATCAATATAAAAATGTTTATTTTTTAACCAATTGTTCACTTAAAAATGAGTTTTAGTTGTTGAACTATTAAATCTAAATTATTTGTTTTTTTTGTGTTCTTTATCTTGTAAGTAAACAGTAGAACTATTGGAAAAAAACACTAAGAAACATGATGCAAATATATAGACAGTACAATGTAAAACTATTATCGTATATTTTGCTCGTAACATTTAGATCTTAATGCTCTAAATGATAATGGAGTAAATTTAATTGCTGTAAGATCAAAATATGTACGAGTATTACACAATAATTAAAACTTGAAATTCCTATCACAGTAGGAGTAGGTAGCTTATCTAGCTGATGAATGTTTCTTACACAATTATCATTATTCGTGGAGCACACATTTAATCAACGAACATTTTAGTTCGTCTGCTTTACGTTTATTATTTTGTAAAATATGGAAAAATTGTGATCCCTTCGAAGCATTAAAACAACAAAATTACAGGAAAATTGCAGGCTAGGTTTGATTGAGTCTGTACATGAGGGATAATGAAAAAAGTGCGGCAGCCCTTAACCCCCTTATCACTGATTTGAGCGGTATTCAGGTTTCATCGTTACTTGCATTTATCATTTGTTTTACTAAAACTGACAATCCACATATTTGAGAACCCAGAAAAGTGACATTTTTGACAACAACTTCGAACTTTCATGCTCACGAAATTAAGTGAATTTAAAGTACAACACAAGTACTTTTGAAAAGTATATAATTGGTAATACAGACTTCAGGTCAAATCTCTAATCTTTAGATGTAACAGATTTTACAACAATTTTAAAGAAAAGTAAATTTATATAATGTTAACATAAAAACCTGCGGCACATTATTATTAAACAAGGAATGAAATAAATACAATAAATACAAAGAAGTAACGTTTTAATTAACTGATGCTGCTGTAATTGTTAAAGTCTTACAAAAAAATATCGAACGAAACAAAAAGTGAGATAAAATTTCAGTTGGTATGATTTATAAAATATTAACGTGCATATTCCAGCAACAATTATCAACTAGAAAATCTGCAACATTGATTTTAATGCAAAAAACAATCATGCATGATACAGGAAAAAAATCTTAAACTGCCTGGGGCATTATTTTTGGAATAATTGATGGCTGAACTGAAATACAATTATTCCTTGCAATTTGAACTTCGTTTTTGTTAGATTGAATCAATATCATCCTCTCCCTTATTTTGATTAAGTCATTTTTCATACAGTTTTGCATTTTGAAAAAGAAATCGAATTCACTAGAATGGCCTTCCCATTAAGAAGAAAATTTCTGCGGATCCTGGAAGAAAAAATGGAAATACTTCGACAACAGTTAAAACAAAAACTAAATGGATGAAAAATTAAAGCTTCAGTTAGAATGAGCCTGTTTATGAAAGATAATGGAAAGGGTAACTTTTAATACCTCGGCAGAAACACAAGGAGTATTCAATGATCCCAAATTATAACAAAACTGAGACGAGGAACAGGATCTACTTTAAACAGCTGCGACAGGTAACTTAACACCTGCTGTTGTGAGTATAATAGCGACAAGGCAAGTATTGAGTATTGACAAAGCCACAAACTTGATGAAAAGGATGAGCAAGTTATACAAGCCACGATTTTGTACAAAGGTTATTTTTATGGTCAACTTCAAATCTAGCAAAAGAAAATCATCTTAACAAATTTGAAGAATGAAATATTCACACTGGAATTTTCAACACATCCAATTTAACTTAAGCAGTCTGAAACAAGGCTACCTTCTCTTTAATCGAAGTTTCAACTTCCGCTTCAAAGCTATAAAAGATGTTTTAATCTAAAACACTTCCGCTTTTGTCTCGCAAAATAGAGATAATTTGCGTACTCAGCTTTAAAACTAATTTACTGAAATCTTGAGAATTCTAACTTAAGTCGTTATCGATTTTATAGATAAAAATAGATCTCAAAATCGCGACCTTGATAATTTGTAATATACAAATAGTAATTTACAGTAGTCAGTGTTTCATTACCATCCATAACATATTTAAATACATGTATCATTAATTAAAATCCTGTATATTGACTTAGTACGTCAAATTATGTGTTACTTTTTGACGTCGTTATTGTTGCCGTCGTATGACGTTGGTGTCATTTCCTACACCTATACCTGATGAAGATTTTTGAGTCAAAACATTGTGTTTTTCAATAAAACAATAAAATTTTAGATTTATACTGGAGTTGACTTCTATATTCAAATTTACATACTTAAAAAAGCCAATTATATCCCCGCCATTCGTTTATGTCCTATTATAGTTTTCAAAAAAGTTATTCTTTAGCCAATAACGATCTTTTGCTTCTGTAGCCTTTTTGGCAAATAGTACGTTTCTAGTGATTTATTATTTTGTATGGAAGTCAAAATACCACTTTGTTTACATTTTACTAATTTCATAACAAATAGTTTCTATTTAGCGGTAATTTATTCAGGTGGCAAACATTAAGCATGTTCTAAAACCATTATTTAAACGTTATAAAACTCATGTATGCCCTTTGTAAAGAAGGCAAAATTTATTCGTTTCGGCTGGGACAGAAAGATATCTTCCGTCCCAGGTTTCGGAAGCATAATCTTTCTTAAAATATATGACATACATAATTGCGATGTATCTATTATTGATGGAAAAATGTCAAAATTAGCCGAAACAGTGAGTTGTATATATAACACCGTTTACCAGATCAATGTTGGTGAATTAGAGAATTCGAAGACACTTACAATTCATGAATTATCGTTACATGATCTTTCATTTGTTGAACGTCAGACAGTTGCATCACAGAAACAAAGGAGGACATATCTTAATAAGTAAGTATTCATAGAAAACGTAACCCAAGAGTGTAAATATATAAACCATCTTACTATATTAAGATAATTTAATAGATATCTTCAAAGTACGTCTTTAATAATACTATGCATTCCATATAGCAGAAAGTTCAGTAGGTTGAATTCCTCATTCAAATCCTGATTGTAATTCATTGTTGCTGTTATGACGTTGGTTTATTGTCGTCTACTGTCATTAAGGCAGGAATTAATTTTTTTAGCACATCGACGCAAATGTGCTCTAGACAGCAACTTTATTTTATTACGAATCCAGACAATGTTTATCTAGAATATGAATACTAGACAATTGTTTCAAAATTGCTCTTCAAAGACAGTTCATGTAATGTAATGCTGCATTTTAGTTGCTGTGCAGTATTAGTAGAGAGGTTATGTGGTGTCAGGTGAATTACAGACCGGGCTTATCAACTAATGGCTACTACTAGCTGACAAAAGCGAGCCAATATTCTACAGTACAACAATATTTTCGATAGATCGACATAATTAGAAAATGGATAGAGAGGACACACATGTATATTGAATTACGAATACCGAACATAACATTGACTTAATTTCGTAGATAACGTAACAAAATGACGACAAGGTGTTGCCAAATGTTTACTACGGATTTAATATACAAATGACTTACACATGCATTCTTATGGGGGCAAATGATTCGTAGTTATATATGCTAATAAACAAACAATGATATACTCACTTTGTCATAAACCAAAAAATCAATTAGTCACTTCTTATGTTCCTACCAATATATATATTCAAATTCAATTTGTTCTACATCTAGTTATCTCATCTAAGATTAAAGATATTACTATTATAGGTATTTTACAATCCGCCGGCATTTACAAGAAACATACCAATGATATAGCTTTTGTGAAAAATAAATTTTTATTCTGTCCAACTGTTAACAATTAAATGCTTACACCCTCAATCAAAGCTTATTTGAGCCGCGTCACGACAAAACCAACATAGTGTGTTTGCGACCAGCATGAATCCAGACCAGCCTGCGCTTCCACGCAGTCTGATCAGGATCCATGCTGTTCACTTACTCTTTTACAAGTAGAGAAACTGATAGCGAACAGCATGGATCCTGATCAGACTGCGCGGATGCGCAGGCTGGTCTGGATCCATGCTGGTCGCAAACCCACTATGTTGGTTTTGTCGTGACGCGGCTCATATATCTCAATCAAGAGCTTCTTTTCTCAATTAAAAGTCAAAACTTTCATATATCTAAATTCTAATTCGAAACCAAATGTTTTCTAATAATTCTTCGTTTTAAATTCGAAATTAATATTTCCTGTTATTTTAGGGTGTATGAGCTTTATAAAGGTGTTTTTTGCAAAGTATGAGATACTATATTCTAAAAATAATCCTTTGATGTATATAAGTTACTGTGTACTATCACAATTGTTATGTACTATTCTTTTTACTATTTTATCTGGAACAAATGTTAAGTATTTTGTTACCGACGAAACAGATTGGTAATTCTCTGTTCCCTTTATGGCAGGATATTACTTGAAATCCTTGAACTTTTGCTTGATTGAAATAACTCATAGTAATTCGATCAAAGTTAATCCATTAACCATATAAAGAACGATTTTATCATTTCACAACTTCCGCCGCAACTGCTTCAATAACTTGGCAGATTTTCTTTAACACTGTAATGTCGGTATTAAATAGAATATAAAAAAACACTCTTTCAAGGCCTGAATGAGTCTCCTTATTATTTGAATAGTCGAGTTAAAAACAATAGAAAAAATACTATGCAATAAGTCTTTGTTTTATGAAAACACCTTAATTTATTGGGGATCTGGTCAAAATAACAATTCAAAAACAGAAATGAGTTATGCAATCATTAACTATAATATCTAAGGATATTTGCTCTTGAATACCTTAGAACTGCATAATGTTATTTACTGATACTATGTCATAAAATGACGAAAACACTACTAAGTAGATTTTGATGACATAAAATATTACATTATTTATTCATTAAATACATTATGAAAAGCTCACTTTACAGGTGATTGCTTTATGAATGTCTTATATACGGTCCTGTTCAAAATAACGACAAAGAGTTGGACAACTGGACAATTTAGTGGACTGGATCCTGTTTGCAGATGAACACAAGTACAACGTACTAAAAGAAAAAAATCCTTATAATGTTCAAAACATGCATTGTGCTTTTATAAAGTCCAGTTCAT